CCTGCCATCTCATACCAGGTTCCTTTGTTCTAATGGCTCATTGCCCCTCACAGGAGGCTAGTCTGACTTAATTAGCTGTTAACATACCCTGATTCCAGATGATTTGGAAGTATTTAGTACACATCTCAATACACAAGGTCTAGCTATCACTTCACACAGGAGACTAGCTTAGCTTTTGACACTCCAAGCCTTAATTACCATATTTTTCGCTCTATAAGACGCACCAGACCACAAGACGCACCTAGTTTTTGGAGGAGGAAAAGCCAAAAGGAAAAAAAATATTCGTGAATCTCAGAAGCCAGAACAGCGAAGGGGTGATCGCTGGCACAGTGATAAGCAGGAATCCCTCTTGCTGTTCTGGCTTCTGGGATAGCTGCGCAGCCTGCATTCTCTCCATAAATGCACACACATTTCCCCTACTTTTTAGGAGGGGAAAAGTGAGTCTTATAGAGCAAAAAATACGGTAAATTCTTTCATCTACTGGACCCAGGAATTAGGGTGTCTAGAACCCACAACCCATAACAATACTTTGTAAAAAAATATAGTTTTTTTATTTCATCTATCTGACAATTAAAGAGAATTCTTTATCTTGCTTATCTCTCCAAGAAAATCCACAAAGGAGCTTAATGTGTTGTGTACTGCTAGAAGGTTCTTCCAGTGGAATCTACCAGAAACCTGTTCAGTTCTCCACAAATATTCTGAGAATGACGTACTCTAGCATAGCTCCCATTTTTTTTCAGAGGGATTACAAGATAACTTTCAGGTGGACCTGCCTACAAGTTTACGTGAAGCGCATAATTAGCAGCCTTCACCATCATGCTTGTTGATGGAAAGGGCAATTAAGATCAGGGTTGCAGTGGGGGAACGAAGCAAGCACACAAACTAATGGGATACTTAAATGTATCTGTAGTTGAATTCTAAGAAGGACAACTGGGCAGAATGTCTTTAGTGGCAAGAAACGAACTGAGCAAAATATACGTGACCAGCTTTCTTTCCAAACTCAGACAAAAACACTAGAAAGAAAGAAAATAAAGAAATCAAGGACTACTCACGGATTGCCAGTTGCCGCCATTATACACCTGCCAGGCTTGGTGCTCAGATTGCAGTTCACAGCCCCGAGCTTTGTTTAAGGGTGTGTAATCATGGCCAAAGCCAAGAGAATGACCCAACACATGCGCAATTGTTTCAGCATCAACTTTAGAATTTCTGTATATCTGAGTACAACGAGGAAAAGGAAAGAAGGGACTGAGTTAATCAGAATATCAAACACTTTCCCATAAATACATATTCATTTACATCCTTTGAGTATATTTCAACTGCTTTAAAATATGTAAATTGGGTTCTACCCTACAACTATATTTTTTTTTGGAAGATTGATTTCAGCATTGTGCTCATTGAAAGGAAGTCGTTTTCCTCTTTCCCACCCCCCCATGTTATGCCTTAATACATTTTGAGACCCCGGATTGTGTTGTCCTCGCGCATTTCCTCTTTTTCAACAGCCAATCTGCCCCCAGTCCAAGCTGAGTAGTTCACATGACGGCCTGAAGAAGAGCAGCTGCTTCCTCCACTCCCTCAGCGGGATCAGCCATGAGACAGAAGACCAAAAGCCCCTGCTGGCCTGGCCTGTCCCATTCCCACCCCACTTCCTAGACCAACAGCCACCAGATTTCATCCTCCTTCCCATCAGCACCCCTCAAGTTTGACAGAGGAGACACAAATTCAGTCATCCACCACTCCTGTGAACCTTTCCAAACTACACAGCAGTCCCAATGATGCCAAGCGTAGTACCAGTACAGGCCTAACCCCAACCTGGGCTGCTCCTTTCCCAAACAATCCATGCCCGAGTCTGATGCCAGACATGGTCCCATCCTCCCAGACAATCACTCTTTTCCCTCCCCTTCACCTTCACTCAGATGGAGCTTGTTGGGCCTTTCCCATGGCACCGCAGCCTCATCACTTAATTAGAAGCCCCTGTGCTTACCCATGCAGGCCACCTCCATTTTCCTAACTATGGCACTGGGGCAGGTTTAGATCCAGCTGCTAACGATGGATGGACATTTGAAGGCTGTAAACCAAGTGCCTACTCAAATAGGTCCAGTAAAGATGTTTTCAATGGGGTTGCACCCACCCAGAAGGATCAGGTGCACTGCTTGGGGGTAATTAATTTTTGCCACTGGGTGTACAACTGGTCACATTGCCTATACTAGCTTCAGCTGGTGGGCCCGGCTGCAGCTCTGTCTGGATGGGAATAAACTCGCTTCAATGATCTATGCCCAGCTAGCCTCATGGCTGGATTACTGCCATGTGTCGTAGCCATAATGGCTCTGCTCTGCTTCCAGAGTTCAGAGGCAGTATGCTTCTGAATAACAGTTGGAAACTGCAGGAGGGCAAGGTACCGCTGTACTCAGGTCCACTGGCCCTGATCCAGCTGCCTATTCTTATATTGTTATGAGACATTTGTGTAAGCAACTAATAAGTTAATTAAATAATAGTATTAATATTTGTACAAGGGGTGAATGGTGATAGAACTATCACTCTTGCCTCAATCTACAGTCCACATTTGAGCCAAATCTCCTTTCCCCCTGGCAAGCTGTGTTATTTACATCTTTTAAAAAAAACAAACTGCAGCAAATTTCCTTTGGTCACAGGTAGCCTTGGCCCGAATGGAATGCAATGGAATGTAAAGGAAAGTCTGGTGAACTAGTGGCTCGAACCCCTGTTTACCTTCCTCCCTCTGGCAGCCTACTAATTTTAGGAAATATATTACAAAGAGAAAAATAAAGAGACTTGATATCACCTACATGAATAGCAGACACTGAAACTAGAGTGTAAAGACAAAACCGGTTCCCCAAGAAAGTCCAGCAGGCAAACCCTTTAGCCCTTATAACATAACAGAAGATATTACTGCACATGTTATAGTTTGTAAAACACTGCAAAAGTTACAGAAGCAGCTATCTTGCCCAAGTTTATGAAACAGAACATTTTTAATCTTCTTTAATCTACGATTTAATGTAAGCTTCCTCCCTGTGTATATTATTGTAAGAAGCTGGAGTATGAGATTAACATAATAATCATGAATAAATATGCTAAGACCAAAGACAAGGGAAGGGTCCTTGCTAGGGTTCCTACTATAAACTGATACAGGTGCAAAGGAAATTTTTTAAAAAATGGTTTCCCCCCCCCCATTACTTGTGTATTTTGCCACTCTGGGCTTCTTTAGGATAATGATAATGATGATGATGATGATGATGAGATAATGTAATAATAATCTGGCCTTTTCATATTGTTGAAAAATGAGGCAGACAATTTCAAGAAAGAAACTGTAGAGTCTTACGTAATTATTCCTGAATGATCAAAATGCACATTTGGTTGAAGCTGAGAGATGGCATATTGGTAAAATGCAGCTAAAGTCATGCCAAGATTCTCAGTATCAATTGTTACGTAGTCTCTTTCTGTCCACAACTCCAATCCTACCAAATAAAGGTGAAGACCTAATGGCAAGTATATCTGAAAACAGAAAACACCAAATCGGGCAGTTATAACGCATAGTATTGTTGCCAAAGTGCCTCCATTGTGGCCCACCACCTCCAGTTTTCCCTTGGTGTCAAGAGCCAACAGCAATGTTGCCTGGCGGTCAGGAACAGTGCCCGTCCCACACGGCTATGATTAATCAAAGAAACCTAGAATTGTGGAGTTGAAAGGGACCTGTTTGAGAAAGAACAACTCTTACTCAAGTTACAAGAAAGGAGATTCCCACTAAACATCAGGAAGAACTTTCTGAGAGTAAGAGTAGCTTGACAGTGGAACGGACTCCCTCAGGAGGTGGTGGACTCTCCTTCATTGGAGATTTTTAAGCAGAGGTTGGATCTCCATCTGCCAGTGCATCCCCAACACCCTCAGTTTTTCTCTTGCCTCTGTATAATGAAACTGAAGAGAACATTATCACTGCCTCCCAAGGTTCCCAGGACTTCCACTTTGTCCAGCAGTTCCTTCTTGTTGGTGAGGACCAGGTCCATGAGAGATTATCCCCTTGTTGCTTCTTCCACCTTCTGGGAAATGAAATTGTCAGCAAGGCAATGGAGGAATTTGTTGGACCTTACGTTCTTGGCAGAGTCTGAGTTCCAACAGATATTGGGGTACTTGAAGTTTCCCATGACTGCTATCTCTCTCCTTTTTGAATGTTTGGTAATCTGCTCTAGGAAGGCATCATCTAAGTTTTAGCCTGGCTTGAGTTCTACAGCAGACACCCACAGTAACACCACTATTTCCCTCTCCTACAGTTTTTACCTATGCACTCTCAATCTGCCCTCCATGCTCCAAGTCATGAATTGCTTCTCAAGTGTACACCTTTACATATAATGCTACTCTTCCTCCCTTCCTGTTTGGTATATTCCTTTTGAATAAGTTAAACCCCTCAATTTCTACATTGATACAAATGTCACAGCACTTGGATGCTGCAGAACAATGTCTTGTTTGCATTTGGGTGTCAAGGAAATGGGACATTTAGGGTTTGAAACTAAATGACCCTTTGGGTCCCTTCCAACTCTACATTTCTATGAAGGCATTGTTTAGAATTAAGCCTTATCAGAGGAATTTGCCACACTCCAGGCACCCGGCTTAATTCCTTGTTGACCTCCCCGGTCTGCGACTCCCGGCAAGATCAGGCGAGATCTTCTATCGGCGATCCCACTCAGCGTGAGGGGGACACACCAATTCCCCCTCCTCCCTGCTATCCCCAGGGAGGGGAAAGAGACAGACAGAAATATATTTACATGCTTTTATTTCTGTCCTTTTCAGCAGTACAGAGAAACGTGTCTGTACTCTCTTAACATCAATAGCAGAGAGAGAAACTCCTCCCCTGTATTTCCTGTACTCCCAGTACAGGTCAGATGACACTCTGAGCTAACATCCGGTGCTCAGCACAGTGAATAGGCTGTTCCTTTGTTCCCACGGTACAGCCACAAGCATAAACATGCTGTCTGGCATTCCAGCCAGCTGGAGCTCGCTGCTGCATTGCTCCTTTTTCGTAACAGGCACCACTCTGCCAGTTTTCGATGAAGTATACCAAAACCTTATACACAGCCTTTATAACAATTTTCAGAAATCATCCCTGGCACTTTCAACCCATTTGAATCCAGTGGTCCTTCTTTTACAGCAGACAATTTTAATATACTTTTGTTTTCCTAAAGTTATAATTGTTTTTGCACTCCTGTATTTGATGTATTATTAAGAGCAATCGGCTTGATTGACTCTTGGAACTTGTAGCTGGGTGTACACCCTGCATTCACGCCCACTGAAAATCCTACTGTGGTTTGGGGGTGCCTGCTCTCCCAGTCATGGGCACAGCCAGGGGGGCAGAGGGGGCAGCTGACCCCCTAGATCAAGTAAAACAATAAAAATATTTAACTAATTGACCAATCACATTGGTTCTGCCACCCCCCCAACAAAGTTCTCCCTCCCTAACAAAAATCCTGGCTACACCTATGCTCCCAGTCCTTCTGCTTCTAGTTGCCCTACTAAAGCCTGAGAACAGCTGGTCCAATTTTTGCATGTAATATGCTGCCAAGCATACTTACCATACTTCTTCATTTCTTTCAACAGATTAGGGACAGGTAACAATCCCTGTCATGTACCGAATTGAATAGGATCCAAATGTACAGGCACAGCCTGACCCCCTCCTCTGGCAATCTGCACAGAATGTTGCTTAATGGTTGCCATTAATTTGATTTTAATTAACTTATAATGAATGTTTTTAGAATGTTGGATTATTTTGATTGTTGTTAGCCGCCCTGAGCCCAGCTTCGGCTGGGGAGGGCGGGATATAAATAAAAATTTATTATTATTATTATGTAGCAGTCTGATTTGTCCTAAAACAATAGGATTCAGAATGCAGCAGTCTGACTGGTCCACAGGAGCCACCCAATCCAGCTCCAGGTGGAAGTGAATCCGCAACCTGATTGGCCTACAGGAGAATTCTGGAATTAGCCAATCACGTGGGGCCCATTGTGTAAATAATGTATATAAAGCAGACATTCTGGGGGAACTTCCATTCCTCCTCACCACTATGAGCTGAATAAAGAGCATGAAATCCTCTCTCGACTCAGAGTATACAGTGGTACATTGGGTTAAGTACTTAATTCGTTCTGGAGGGCCGTTCTTAACCTGAAACTGTTCTTAACCTTAAGCACCACTTTAGCTAATGGGGCCTCCTGCTGCCAGAGCATGATTTCTGTTCTTATCCTGAAGCAAAGTTCTTAACCTGAAGCACTATTTCAGTCTGTAGTCTGAAAGCATATGTAACCTGAAGTGTATGTAACCCAAGGTACCACTGTATTTCCATCCCTCTTATCTCTTTGTCTCTCTCCCCTCACTTTTTCTTCCTTGTCTTCCGACACATTCTTTCTCTTTGTCTCATCCACCCCCACTCTTTCAAAGATAGTTTTCCCAATTTATAGTTCTAACAATGGTTCAGAGATTGCTTTGTAGTATTTTCCCCTTGTCTTCAAATTCCCTTTTGGGGTTAAGTTCTTTAGTCTTGTGTCTTTTTTTTCTTTTTCTTTGTTAAACCCTTCTCTTCCAAAAAACCTGATAGTGGTACTCTAAATCACCCTAATCCCTCAATAATTTGAATGCTGATACTGTTCTGTTTTTATAATGCTGTTGCTTTTTAAGTGTTTGTTTGCAGTATATTTTATGCTATTTTACTGCTATAAATTCTTTATTGTATTATGTTCTATTAAATTATTTGTTATGGTCTTATTTGTAAGCTACCTTAACAGCCCTTCACGACTGCAAATTCATGGTATGAAATAAAGTGAATAATAATCAATAGTAATTACCCTACCTTCACAGGCTGTCTCTACAAGTGCCTCCCCCTTGCACAAATGGAAGGACAAAACATTACGCTTAGAATACTGGGGCACAATAATTCAAATAGGTCATTTTTGACTGAATCTCTCAAGAAAACGAAATCACAAACAAAGGCATTAGAGACTCCCTGGTCAGTTATCATTCCATTTCACATCTTTCTTTTGGAGAAAACAAGGTAGTTAAAAGAGGTTAGCTCCAGCTTAAGCCGCCACCTGAATTTTCTAGTTTTCTGAAGTGTACCTGTTTGTTATTTAGACTGGATATGGCCTGAGGCTACACTTACTATATGCAAAGAAAAACATTATTTAAAAATACTATAAAATATAAACAATAAGTTTAAGGATAAGAAATAATTCTAGGGCACCACTAAATTGATTTTAAAAAACACAAGAATATTTGCAGGGTCAGGATGCGTTAAATTAGGGCCAAACAACCATTAAGAACTCTACCTGATGAACTAGATTTCTAACTACAAATCCAGAAGAAAATCACATTTCTGTGTGTAATGAGACCTGAATTAGAAAGATCCTAAGACCCATCTTTGTTGCCAGGGGCGTAGCTAGCTGCCCCGGCACCCGGAGCGGCATTGGCGGGGCAAGTTGCGCACGGAAGTGCTGCGGCGAGTCCGCCTGGCGGACGCAAGCCCCACACTGCTGTTTCAGGCAGTGTGGGTCCCTGAGCCACCGCATCACTCCCAGAAGAGGCGTGTGCTTGGGCACGTTGCAGGCGGTAAGTGCTGCCCCCCACAGTGTGCCATTTATTCACGCCCTCAGGGATGACACCCGGGGCGGACCACACACCCCTGTTTGCTGCTACCATTTGTGTTTGGGTGGACACACTACTCCCCAATCAAAGCTAAACCAAAATATTGGATATCTGATTTGTTTTCTATTGGGGCAGCAATCAGTTCTCCATGAGATTCACAGAAAAGGTCTTATAAAATATACTCACGCTGTGAACATCAGAGATCATACGAAGCATGATCAACACTAACTGAGTTTCATTGCGATGATTGAGAATAAACTAAAGGAGAGAAAAGGAAAGACAAAATGTTTAACTATGACTTGGGTTCTTCAGATGCATTCCAAATTCCCTCCTCATCGTTAATACTCCTTTGGATAATTTTCATTAAAATATCGTATGTTGAGAGTTTCATAAACCTAAGATTCTAAATGAATACAAATACTCCATACTATTAGAAACTACAATCGATATAAAAAAAGGTGTGGGATATATGCCATCTTTCAACAACTATTGAAATTAGTAATATAATTTCCCCCTCAATAAACTAGCGGTATCCTGATTGTTCCATTTAGCTAGCCAAGGATAACTATACACATCCTAATAACTCAAACTCTCAATATGTTTTAACTGGAAGTCTGTAGTCCCTGAAAACAAACTTGAAAGAGACCTGTAATATTTATGTTGATTGGTGTGGGGGTGGGTGTATGTGTCAGTGTATGTATATGAACACCACAACACACACGATGTTGTTTAGTCATTTAGTTGTGACCCCCTGGACCAGAGCACTCCAGGCACTCCTGTCTTCCACTGCCTCCTGCAGTTTGGTCAGACTCATGCTGGTAGCTCCAGAACACTGTCCAACCATCTCGTCCTCTGTCGTCCCTTCTCCTTGTGCCCTCCATCTTTCCCAACATCAGGGTCTTTTCCAGGGAGTCTTCTCTTCTCGTGAGGTGGCCTCAGTAGGTTTTTTTCAGTAGAAAGTGGTCCTCAGGAACGCAGAAGTTGCCAGTCAAAGATGCTCAATGTCAATAACGATTAAAACTATGCTTATATAGAAGCAACCCTAAAAACCCACTGAGGAATTTCCTGGTAACCTTGGTCACTGAAGAAGCCCAATGGGTGAAACAAGGGTGTAATCCTGACAACTATTCTACTATTAAGCTGCCTTTTGTTACTAATCGGTTCCGTTTGTCACACTTTCAGACATAGGATGACGCAGGAAGGAAGATATCAGAATGAAATGGCGCTGCCAACAGGAACTGCATTGTAATCTTTGGACTTGACAATCCTTGGACTGTACGATACCAATAAAGTGGTACCTCGGGTTAAGAACTTAATTCGTTCCAGAGGTCTGTTCTTAACCTGAAGCTGTTCTTAACCTGAGGTACCACTTTGCTAATGGGGCCTCCCGGCTGCCACCGCGCCACCGGCCAGCACGATTTCTGTTCTCATCCTGAAGCAAAGTTCTTAACCCGAGGTACTATATCTGGGTTAGCGGAGCTGTAACCTGAAGCGTCTGTAACCCAAGGTACCACTGTACATATAGAAGATATGATATGTTGCATCAGGAACTGTGCTTTTTGATATGACGATTAAAATTACAGTTTTATTACATATCATGTTTATGTTACTTTACAGCTAGTAAAGTGTGTGTTGTGGTGTTCAAAAGATGGTTCACGTAATGAGGCAATAGTGGTGTTTGTTGCCTTAGTGTATGTATATGTGCATGTGTATTACTAGACATATGTTACTTGAAAGCCACTTTGGCATGATTTATATCATGAAAGGCAAGATATAAACAGTGTAATAACCTACCATATATTTTAAGGTGGAAAGGTCTGCTTGATATGCATTTGAACACCTCTTAATATATAACAAATTTTGCATTAGGAGGTTTTTGTCTATGTTTAGATACAATTGGATACATTTTGACTCAAGACAGTGGACATCAAACCTTTAAAAAGTGCATTGATCTTTTGGTCTCAGAACTCCTGAGCAACACCAAATATGAGGCTGCTAGTAAATAAATATGGCAACATTTACTATGGCAACATTTACCGTGCTTTTGTCAACAACAGCATAATATTCTAGATATCTGATAGGCGGGTCATATTCAAGATCATCTAACTGAAAAAAAATACATATAACAAAGTTTCATTGCAGAAATGTACCATGAATATTCCTTTAGAAGAAACCTAAACAGGCCTATCACCTAAAATTAACCTTACAATAAACAACTATACCCCATTATTCAGCTAGAAGCTCTTACCCCAATAATTCTATTTCATCCATCCTTTACCCTAGTTAAATTTATTGGTTTAGTTATTTATAACCCAATAAGAGAAGTTATCTAGGTGGCTTACATAGAACCAAACTTAAGAATCACCCTTACAATAAAAGTACAATCGTATGCAACAAAAAATTTGCAACAATAGATTGAAATGAATAATATTATTATTTTGATTTATTACATACCCTTAACTCAAAGTTCCCAGGGCAGGTTACAACAATTGAAAATGCAGTATTAAAAAGTTTAAACATTTAAACTGTTGTTTTAAACTGTTTTGAACTTTGTATGTTAAGTGTTAGAGATCTTCCTCTTTCAAAACGTTTCTTCTGCAGATACAATAACCAAATGTGCCCTAACTTACACTATCGTCTCCCTTCTTCTCCTTTTCATATTCAGGGGCATCAACTATACTATACAGGGTGGAAGGGGCTTTGTCCCCCTTAATATTTGTGGGTAGGGGGCCAAGCCCCCCAATATTGAGGGCCCCCAAACAGATCAGCCTCCCACCTGCAAACACACCCTCCACGCTCCTAACGCCCCATTGCCGAAGGGCAAGCGCTTGTGTGCCGGCGGGGGCGAGGTACAGAGGGTCACCTTCACTCTCCGTGCTCTTCAGCAGGGTGCAACGGGGATCTCTGCAGGGGGCGCCTGGTTTGCATCTCCCCAGATTGTGCGCTCAGGGCAACGGCCCCCCTGGCACCTCCCACCCAGCGCATGATGTTGTGCATATGATGTCATGTGACACCGGGCCCCCTCAATGTGGGGGGCAAGTCGGTGCCCCTGCTCACACTCCACATCCTTCCTGGTCAAGACTACCATCCCTACTCTCTTTCGAAGAGCAACAGAGGATGTCACTAATATCTATTCCCCACCAAGCAGCCATGTGGAATGGCAGAAACTATCAAAGTTGATGGTGGGAACCACGCTTTTCCATTTCCCTTCTACCCACCCCAACAGTGAGGAGCATATCTTTCTACATCCCCAAACAGGGAAGAAGGATCTTAGGCTTAGGACCTTTAAGCCAGCCACATTTGGTACATGAAATCAATTTGATGTATGGATTCAGCAAAACCAAAAACTACTTACTCCCATGGCAGAAGGAATTGGGCCGTCACTGTCAACTATTCTTATTTCTCCAGCTTCACTTCCTAAATATGTTCCATCTTCAATTATTCCTCTGCACGGTTCAAGGTGCTCTGGAGTCTTTCGATAAATAAGGTGTTGAAATGTGGAAGAATTCTCAATAGGTTCAATTTCATAGCATAAAGTCCCAATTTGCACATGTCCCCTGGCGGGTTGGGGTGGAAACCCAAAAGACAGACTTAGGGTCAAAATATCTGCAAAATATCTGCAAAAATTTTATAATCCACATTAAGCAGTCATATGGGGTGGTAGTTCTTAAGCTGAGTCTTTTCAGTCTCTGTTTTCGGTATAAGTGTGATATACGCTTCCTTCCACTATAACATAGTTTAATCTGTTTGCCGTTATAATTGCCAAAAATTTATGATCCACATTTAAGATGGAAAACAGCCTGTGGCATTCAACTTTATGTATATTGCTATGAGGTTTCATTCCATGTACGTACTTGGAAGATTCATAATTTGAATCATTTCATCATATAGTTCCTTAAGAATTGATGTTATTTTGCTACTTAGAATTGAAAGTATAATGTATTTAGAATTGAAGGTATAACAAGTGTGTCTTGGGTCCCAAAAACTGCTTGCTTCCCACAGTGCCTTATCGTTGTGTTTGCATATACAAGAAATGAAAACCAAATTAAACTTAGACAGTTGCTTTACCCAACTCTTATGGAGGGAAGTCTGCATAAAATCTACTCTGAGAATAGCTGTAGAGGCACAATTATTCACAACTTAGGGCTCGTGGTGTATATCTCTTTCAGTTCTACCCCAACATCTTTATTACCAAAGCCCAGAGCAGGTAGAGAGGAAGGCCTGAGAGTCTAAGGCGTCTTCTACATATCCACCGTAATAGCAGTTGTCCTGCAAGGACCAAATACACATCCTTAGGAAAAAATCAAATGAAGTTGAATAGAACAGCTTGACAAAATGACTGAACCATGCTCAGCTCAGGGTTAATAACTTTGACATCCTGCACAAATCCAGGTGATTCATCATAAAACCCACACATTATTATTTCTGAATCACTTCTCATGAGGGATCTTGAAGCGATTTACAGTATGATATATATAAAACAGTTCCATATATAAAAACAGCTAAAAACAATTACATATTAAAAAATGTAAAAGGAGCAAAATGCAGAACAGTTTGAGTAAGATATTGGGTTTCAACAAGTAGTATTGATGCTCCAGACACTGAAAATAAATCTACCTGAGTTCTACACATCCTTTCAAAATTTACCGCAAAAAAATTCCATTTTCACATGCCCATTTTTAAAAAATTGGGCACATGTCTCCTAATACCTTAAACTATTGGGATGCATATGAATAAAATTTACCTGAATATATGGATAATCTGCAATCCGGTCTCCCTTCACATTATATGTATAAATAGGCATATTTGCAGTTATAAAAGATCTGAAAGTTTTAAAATAAATCAAATGGCAGAATTATAGTTTGCTAGTTGCAATCTCTGAGGCATGGTAAAGTATTGCAATGGATTAATAATAATAATAATAATAATAATAATAATAATAATAATAATTTATTATTTGTACCCCGCCCATCTGGCTGGGTTTCCCCAGCCACTCTGAGCGGCTTCCATAGAAACCAAAAAACACTAAAATATCATACATTAAAACCTTCCCTGAACAGGGCTGCCTTAAGATGTCTTCTGAATGTCAGGTAGTTGTTTATCGTTTTGACATCTGATGGGAGGGCGTTCCACAGGGTGGGCGCCACTACCGAGAAGGCCCTCTGCCTGGTTCCTTGTAGCTTTGCTTCTCGCAATGAGGGAACCGCCAGAAGGCCCTCAGCGCTGGACCTCAGCGTCCGGGCAGAACGATGGGGGTGGAGACGCTCCTTCAGGTATACTGGGCCGAGGCCGTTTAGGGCTTTAAAGGTCAACACCAGCACTTTGAATTGTGCTCGGAAACGTACTGGGAGCCAATGTAGGTCTTTCAAGACCGGTGTTATGTGGTTTCGGCGGCTGCCCCCAGTCACCAGTCTAGCTGCCGCATTCTGGATTAGCTGTAGTTTCCGAGTCACCTTCAAAGGTAGCCCCACGTAGAGCGCATTGCAGTAGTCCAAGCGGGAGATAACAAGAGCATGCACCACTCTGGCGAGACAGTCCGCAGGCAGGTAGGGTCTCAGCCTGCGTACCAGATGGATCTGGTAAACAGCTGCCCTGGACACAGAATTAACCTGTGCCTCCATGGAAGCTGTGAGTCCAAAATGACTCCCAGGCTACGCACCTGGTCCTTCAGGGGCACAGTTACCCCATTCTGGACCAGGGAATCCTCCACACCAGCCCGCCCCCTGTCCCCCAAAAACAGTACTTCTGTCTTGTCAGGATTCAACCTCAATCTGTTAGCCGCCATCCACCCTCCAACCGCCTCCAGGCACTCACACAGGACCTTCACCGCCCTCACTGGTTCTGATTTAAAACAGAGGTAGAGCTGGGTATCATCTGCATATTGATGGACACCCAGTCCAAACCCCCTGATGATCTCTCCCAGCAGCTTCATATAAATGTTAAAAAGCATGGGGGAGAGGACGGAACCCTGAGGCACCCCACAAGTGAGGGCCCAAGGGTCTGAACACTCATCCCCCACCACCACTTTCTGAACACGGCCCAGGAGGAAGGAGCGGAAACCACTGTATGACAGTGCCCCCAGCTCCCAGCCCCTCAAGACGGTCCAGAAGGATGTTATGGTCGCCGGAGATCATCAACCAGTGCGACCAAGGCAGTTTCAGTCCCATGATGAGGCCTGAACCTCGATTGGAAGAGATCCAAATGGTCCGCATCCTCCAGGCGTGCCTGGAGTTGTTCAGCAACCACACACTCAATCACCTTGCCCAAGAATGGAAGATTTGAGACTGGGCGATAGTTGGCCATACTGGCCGGGTCTAAAGATGGTTTTTTAAGAAGCGGTTTAATGACCACCTCTTTCAGCAGATCTGGGAATGTTCCCTCACAGAGGGAAGCATTCACCACCCCGCAGAGCCCATCGCCCAGCCCTTCCCGGTTTGCTTTTATTAGCCAGGATGGGCAAGGATCCAGGAGACAGGTGGTTGGTTTCACACGTCCAAGCAGCCTGTCCACATCCTCGGGGGTAACGGATTGAATTGATTCCATGCAACTTGACCAGACAGGGCTCCAGCACTCTCCCGCCCCAGCCCTGCTCCCACGGTGGTGTCTAGCTCCTTCCGAATATGAGTGATTTTATCTGCAAAAAACTTTGCAAAATCGTTGCAGGAGATCTTGGGGTCTTTACAAGGCCCCGGTGGTAAAGGTGGTTCCGTTAAATTGCGGACCACCTGAAAGAGTCTCCTGCTACTATTTTCTGCAGATGCAATAGAGGCGGTGAAGAAAGTCTTCTTCGCCATCGCTATCGCCACTTGGTAGGCTCGACGTTGAGCTCTAACCTGTGTCTTGTCAGATTCGGAGTGAGTTTTCTGCCACCGACGCTCTAGCCGTCTCAGCGATTGTTTCATCGCCCTCAGCTCCGAAGAAAACCACGGGGCTGTCCGGGCTCCATGCAATCGGAGAGGGCGCTTCGGAGCCAGCCAGTCGATCGCCCTGGTTAACTCCGCATTCCAGCGGGCCACCAGGGAATCAGCTGAAAGGCCATCAACATGGGATAAAGCATCCCCTACCACTCTCTGGAAACCATTTGGATCCATTAAGTGGCGGGGGCGGACCATCCGAATTGGTCCCACCTCCCTGCAGAGATAAACTACTCCTCTGAAAGTTACTTTGTTCAGCAATGGGCTCAAACTTTCATTTCTATTTTCATATCTTATTCTTATATTATATCTTAATAAGAAAAAAAAGAGAGTAGTCTTCCACATCTACAGATAATGCCTCTTGGGACAGAAGTCGCACATTCAACAATTTATCAATGGATGCAGTCACTTACCTCTGTTTAAGATGAACAACTCTGTCATTTTCTTCCATTTTAATAATATAAGATATATCTGTCTAAAGTTAGACGAGGGGGGGGGATACAGAACAGTTAATTAATTCTCATTACCATCCTCCCTGATAACTTACTCTTAATTTATCATGTGTTCAAGCTTGGAGAGGGTGGAGCTTATGAGAAAAGCTTAAGCTTAATATAACAGTTATGTACTTATTTATACAAATCAGTTGGTTGTAAACTTGATTAGACCTATTCATGTCTATCAGTGTTCTGACTATACCTCTATGTACCACATTCTGGGAGCAAATGATGTCAAAACTAGCAATAAATTTTGATAGGGAAATCAGACACCGATTATCTTTTGTTGTTAATTTTTTAAAATTAGTGTTCGTACAGAGAAGAAAAGAATTCATTTTAGTTCCCCTTTCCTTTCTCCAAACTTGTTTCAGCAAGATTATGCTATTGTGATTTAAAGAAGAACAGGCCTGGAAACAGCCAAGGCACAGTTTCCCAGACTCTCCAATAAGATTTTTGAAAGGGAGGTGAAGTCATGTCAGACTAGAGACTGTGACAGGGAGATAGGTATAGTAAATGTTAACTCACAGCCATCCAGCAATTAAAATAGAAAAATAATATTCTACAAGCAATGAACTCCATCAGTGTGTATGCATGTATGCTGGTGGTCAACAAAAGAGGTTTAAAGACTGCCTCAAGGCAAATCTTAAAAAATGTAGTATAAACACCACCAATTGGGAAACACTGGCCTGCGAGCGCTCCAATTGGAGAAGAGCCTTTACCAAAGGTGTCATGCGCTTTGAAGACACTCAAACTCAGGACGCAAGGGAGAAACATGCTAAGAGGAAGGCACATTTGGCAAATCCACACCGTGATCAACTCCTGCCAGGAAACCAATGTCCCCACTATGGAAAGACGTGTGGGTCCAGAATTGGCCTCCACAGTCACTTACGGACTCATTGTTAAAACCGTGTTTATGGAAGACAAACTTACTCGGCTATGAGTGATCGCCAAAGAAAGAAGATATGTATACGTGTGAGTATGAGTATAGTATATATCACACACACACCAAACTCTAGTACATAACTTTCCAAACTATGTGTCGCGACACTGCAGTGTGTGTATCGTGTAAACACTCCCCGTGTTCCTCCTGGAGCTGGAAAGGGTTTAGTTTAACCTCCAGTTTGCTAATAAAACAGAATTATTGAGACCCCCAGGTATAGGGCGGTATTTAAATTCAATAAATACTAATAATAATGACTGTGTCACGATATGATGCATGTCTAAAAGTGTGTCACCAACATGAAAAGTGTTGAAAGCTCTGCTCTAGTAAGTACTAGATCACTGACTGCACTTTAAGAAATTAAGTTTTAAGAAATATCTGGAGCAACTCAAATGGTAATCAAAAGGAAAATTACTTTGCTACCCCTTGATTCCAGCCGCTTTGGCACTATTACTTCAGAGTAAATGTATCTTTGTGTTGGTTGTACAAAACCTATAAAGAAACAGAACAGTGAAATCAACATTTACAATCCGTGGAATATCTTCTTTCCCATTCTGATGCTTTAGAGCCAAATTTAGTTGTAAATTTAGTTTTAAATTTTATTTAAAAGTTTTTAATGCCACCTTTCAGTAAAGGGCAGCTTACAACAACATAATAAAGTAAAATAAGAGATAGCAATTAAAGCAACAACATGAAAATCAACAAGTGTATAGATAAAAGTGAGCAGCAAAAAAAATCTATTAAAAACAGCCTGTGAAATTCAGCAGAACAGATAAACTTATAGCCATCTTAGCTAGATTGTTTATTTTGTTAAAGCCAAGGCAAATAAAACTGTCTAGGCATGGCACCAGAATGACCCCAGAGAGAGCAAGATGGACCTGCCCAAGGAAGACTTATCACAGATGGTGTGCCCTGACCTGCTCCAGCCACCACATGTGTGACTATAGAAGGTGGGATAACAGAGAAGAGGATTAGGATTAAGGATTGGGAAGGCTGGCATGGTAGGAAGCAATCTTTCAGCTGGCAAGCCATTTAAGGCTTATCAGAAATACAAGCCACGATTCCTGAAATGAAGGGGCAGCTCAGTAAGAGCAGTGGCGGAGAAAGGGGGTGCGGTGTGGGCGATGTGCCCTGGGTGTCATCCCTGGGGTATGTGTGACAAAATCCCCCCTGGGTGGATCGCCACCGCACTGATCACCCCCGTGGGTGGAACACCACTGCATCAATAGGGATGCCCGGCGCCCATAGGGATGGGGCGTGCCGCGGGGCCTCAGCTGCCCTACAGCTGGGGGGGGGAGGCAGCGGGCAGGACACACAGTGCCCAAAGGGACGGGCCATTCCTATGGGCACCACGCCGTGCCCCATGCCTAGGGGTGTGCCGGCCCAGGTGCCCAAGAGGCTTCTTCCACCGCTGAGTAAGAGCTCTTTAAGAACTAGCTAAGTATCTGTTTTGAAGTTTCCAGGAAATCTTGAAAGGAAGCCCCATGTACAAACAAATTGCAAAAGCTTAATCCTCTACATGGTTGTACTGCTTCAATCCTTTTGTTCCAGCAGCCCAACTGCACAAAGGACTGCAGGGCCAGCCAAATGTCTTCCTCGAGGGAAGGTCTCCATCTTCTGCTACTACATTCTGTTGCTGCAAGCGCTACTTTGTTCACGCCGCTTTGCCTCTAGGTGTCAGGAGTGCTTGCAGGAGCCAGGCCCTGTGACCGGTAAGGCTTCGCAGGACTGGGGCTTTCCTAAGTTTGTGCTGAAAAGTCAAGGCGCGGCTGCACAGGTGAGGCCAATTGGTAACTCGCAGCACCTGGTGGCAAGAGCCGGGAAGGGATATACAGTGGATGCTTGGGTTGCAAACGTGATCCGTGCGGGATGCACGTTCGCAACCTGCAGCATTCGCAGCCCACAGCATTCGCAACCCGCATCTGCGCACGCGCGGGTTGCAGTTCGGTGCTTCTGCACATGCGCAACCGCTGAAACCTGGAAGTAACCCGTTCCGGTACTTCCGGGTTTCGGCGGTCCGCAACCCCAAAAAACGCAACCTGAAGTGGCTGTAACCCAAGGTATGACTGTAAGGTCAGCATTTCCCTTTGGCTCTTTGCCACAGCAACACACTTCCTGCCTTGCTGCGTTTGGCTTCTTGACTCCTTGCTTCTGGATCCTTGGACCCTTGGCTTCTTGACTCCTTGCTTCCGGATCCTCGGACCCTTGGCTTCTTGACTCCTGGTTTCCTGATCCTCGGACCCTTGGCTTCTTGACTCCTGGTTTCCTGACCCTCGGACTCTTGGCTTCTTGACTCCCGGCTCTCTGACCCTTGGACTCTTGGCTTCCGGACTCCTGTTCCTGCTCCCACCTGGTCTTGCCCCCGGTCCCGACATCCTCAGCCGGGACTTTGACCACCCGTAAACCGGACCATGACACTAAGCCGGCAGCTGGAGGGCCAGTTGGCACACATTTGGCCCAAGGCCTTCCAATTGCTGAAGGAAGTGTCACTGGCAGCTGAAACTGGCATCTTGAGAGCATCTGACCATTTGTTGGTTGCTCAGCTGCAAAGAAGCGAGTGCCATTGCTGAGGTGCAAAGGGAAAGCCCCATGGAGGAAGGGGAGAGGAATGAAGGAAATGAAGTGTCCTGGTATTTAATAATAATAATAATAATAATAATAATAATAATAATAATAATAATAATGTATTTTTCCATGTTTAAGACGCCCCATGTATAAGATGCCCCCTATTTTGGGGGACTCCAAATTCAGAAAACACCCCTCACCACTACCTATGTATAAGATGAGTCCCAATTTTAAACCTATTTTTTTGGTAAAAAAAAACCCCTAGTCTTTTACACGGAAAAATACAGTAATAATACTTTATTATTTATACCTCGCCCATCCGGCTGGGTTTCCCTTGTCACTCTGGGTGGCTTCCAACAAAAGTTTAAAAATACATTTACAATTACCATATTTTCTCGTGTATAACCCCCCCTATTTGGGGGGACTCCAAATTGAGAAAATGGGGGAAAACTGTATCCGTGTATAAGACGACCCACAATTCTGAACATAATTTTTAAATAAAAATTTCATTTTGTTTCATTTAAATTTTCTACATCACGTACTATACGCAAGGTGGTTTACAAGCTGAGGAAACAAGAAAATATCCAGCAAAAGACCAGACATCTTATAGCAATCAGATCCAATACCAAAAAAGTCATAATAAAAACCTAACTTTGAGATAAACAGCTTATATCAAATAAAGCAACATTCAACAATCCATTGGGATATAATAGTGCAGAATAAAACCAACTCTCAAAATATCAGCTCTTAACAATCCACTCTTAACAATTACTCTAAATGATTACTAAACTATAATTCGCTCTTAACAATTACAACAAAAGATGATCAAACTATAATCCATCGTCTAGTCCATGATCACAGTGGCCAAGCAGGTGCCTCAGTGGGAAACCCGCAAGCAGGACTCGAACGCAAGACCCGTTTCCTCTCCTGCGATTTCCTGCAAGTGGGATTCAGAAACATGGCTGCCTCCAACCCGGGAAGCACAGCTCAGCCATCGCGGCTAGCGGCCATCCATAGCTGTCTCCCCCTCCGCAAATTGGTCTAAAAACCCTTTTGGAAGCCATGCAAGTGGGTGGCCCTCGCTGCCTCCTGTGGCAGGGAGTTCCACAGCTGAACTGCACAAATCAGGAGTTTATTTCCTCTGCCCTGAATCTTCCAACATTTGGCTTCTTCCCATCTCCACAGGGCAGCGGGTGGGGAACCTGGTGCCCGCCAGATGTTGTTGGCCAGGGATGACAGGACCTGGGGGCCACATCTGGAGGGCCACACAGAGGTTCCTCCTCCCTGCTTTGTAGGAGGCACCCTTTATACTGAGGGTATGGGATTTTATTCTATTTTTAAGAAAAACACACCAGGTCCAAAAGGAGGAGGAGGAGGAGCATCTTTAGCACCACCTCAGAGCAAAATATCCCCAGCCTCTGTGGGGAAAACCAAGTCAAGGCCTTGAGCAGCTTCTCCTCAGCCATTTCCCGCCAAAACATTCCCCTCTTCCCTCCTCAAGTGGTCCAACTGTCATTTGGTTTCAGCATCCCAAGCTCTCCGCTGCCACTCAGCCCGGAGGCCCGCCCCCTCAAAGCCCCCATTGCACCATTCGAAACTCAAACTGCCTCCTCAGACTCAAGAGCTCCAATAGCAAGCGGGCTCAGTTTCGAGTCCCTCCCTCCCAGCTCTTCGGTTGGCTTGTTGAGCACTCGGACCCTGCCCCCTCAGAATCAATGTCAACGAAGGCACCAATCCGCTCCGGTCCTGCCAAATGCCACTCCGCCCAACAACGCAGAGTGTGCCAAATAAAACCTTAGCAACAGCTGCAGCTGCTCCAAGCCCCACCCCTTTAGAGCTCAAGCTGTCACTCGGCTCCCGACTCTGCCCCTTTCCAGGTACTTCCTGGTGTGCCCTTCCTCTTTAATGGAGGACCACCATATTTCAAAAAGTAAAAACCAACAACTTGTTGAATATCCAGACATATGGCAGCCCAATTTAATGTTCAGTGTTTTACTGTTTTATATATATGCTTTCTTGGGAGAAAAGCAATGACGAACCTAGACAGCGTCTTAAAAAGCAGAGACATCACTTTGCCAACAAAGGTCCGTATAGTTAAAGCTATGGTTTTCCCAGTAGTGATGTATGGAAGTGAGAGCTGGACCACAAAGAAGGCTGATCGCCGAAGAATTGATGCTTTTGAATTATGGTGCTGGAGGAGACTCTGGAGAGTCCCATGGACTGCAAGAAGATAAAACCTCTCCATTCTGAAGGAAATCAGCCCTGAGTGCTCACTGGAAGGACAGATCATGAAGCTGAGGCTCCAAGACTTTGGCCACCTCATGAGAAGAGAAGACTCCCTGGAAAAGACCCTGATGTTGGGAAAGATGGAGGGCACAAGGAGAAGGGGACGACAGAGGACGAGATGGTGGGACAGTGTTCTTGAAGCCACCAGCATGAGTTTGATCAAGCTGCGGGAGGCAGTGGAAGACAGGAGTGCCCGGCGTGCTCTGGTCCAGGGGGTCACGAAGAGTCGGACACAACTAAACAACAACAAAATATATGCTGTAAGCCACCCAGAGTGGCTGGGGAAAACCAGCCAGTTGGGTGAGGTATAATAAAATAATAATAATAATAATAATAATAATAATAATAATAATAATAATAATACCACCACCACCACTGTGATCTGCTTCATGGTGTGTGTTATAAGAAAGAAAACCCTACTCCTTTCCCTTGGGCACCCAAGGGCCCGTATAGACAGTGACAGAGCTTCATGCTCCGGCACTGGAGGGCAGAGAGCAAGCAGGCTGGCGGGGCTGGCGGGTATTATGGGGGCGTGGCACGCTGCCCACAGAGGCGTGGCTCACATCTTGGGGGCGTGGTGCTCTGCCTGCAGGGCGGGGCTCCCAGCGCGGGTGGGGGGACGACAGCCTCAATGGCACCCTACTGGGGACGGTGCGCTCCCCCCCACACTCCTCTTCCTCTGCCAGTGCGTATAGAGTAAGTTATCAGATTTTTTTTCCAAATGATCCGGGAACACTTTCTCTTTTTTTTTTTTTTTGGAAAGAGAAAAAAAAGTTGTTAAAAATAAATAAATAAGAAGTCATATCTTCTCTTCTGTGGTCTCCTCTGTCGCGTGGCCTTCCTCTGGGCCCCAGCCTGCTCTCTCGGGGCGCTAGCCACCATGAAGTAGGCCTGGGATCGGCCACATGTCTTTGCCCTCCTGGTGTTCTCCTACCTCTCGTCCTCAGCGGCGACGCGGCAAGGTCAGGGCTCCCCTCTTTTTTCTCTTTCCTCTTTCTCTTCCTTCTCCTTCTCCTCTCCTCCTTCTCCCTGCATCGGCTCCAGGGTTTTCCTGGCCCCGGAGTCAGCCGGGTGGCGAGGCGCTCTCTCTCCTGACTCGATTTAGGTTGGGGGGGTCTGCAGTTCCCCCAATTGACATGCTGGGTGTCCCCGGTTCCCCCTCGGCAGTGGCGGTGGCAGCAGCAGTCTCTGCAGCCAGGAGCCAGCCTGGTAGCACAGTTGGCTCTGGCTGGCTTCAGGAGCCTGCTCGCTGCCGTGGCATCTGCCATTTTGCCTCGCTGGAAGTCCTTATATGATGTGTCTTGTGCCGTTGACCAATCACGCAACATTCATTCCCTACTGATAAATCTACAACACTTAAAATATAAATCCGGGGACATCAAATGAAATCCGGAGACATTCCGGGGACAGATTTTGTCCGGGGACAGATTTGTAAATCCGGGGACTGTCCCCAGGAAACGGGGATGTCTGGTAACCATAGTATAGAGTCCTTATGTAGGTTCTTTATTGGTAGGAGAAAATACCAGAGGCCAACCAGAGAATATTGAGAAGGAAAGCAGCTAGTAAGCCTGATCTTTATTGATCTGTTGCAACAGGGTCGCCACTCACCACACGCAGGAGGGAGGACAGAACCCTGAACATTGTTATGCAAGCCCTTATATAGACTTTTGAAATTGCCTCCCCTGTAGCTCAAGACCACGCCCCCAAAACATCATACATACAGCACAGAAAGAGGTGATCCCCAGCAGAAATTTGAGTGTATTGCTTCTTTGCTGTCTGCCAGGATACCTGATAATGCCTTATTTGACTGCCTTTTCTGGGTAGCCTGGCCATTCCTTTGAGTTGGTAAATACTTAGTTCCTGAATCTCTTACACATATCGATAGTGTGCTCGCTTGCCAGACTGTATTTACAGGGAGGTCTAAGCTCCTACAGTCCAAAGACAATTGGAAAGCTTTTCCCATTTCCTTCCTCCTTGCAGAGAAATACTTGAGGTCAATTTAGGAGAGTCAAATTGGCTTCAGGATTGTTCTCCTGTACTCTTTCAGACACGTTGTTCATATACTTCTGTATGTGTTTGCCTGTACATTTATGAACACACACACACACACATACACATAAGGCCTTAGAATTCATATAACTGTGTGCGAAATCTTTTTGATTAAAATAAAACTGTAAAAAAAAAAGAACGTGAAAGTTAATTTCCTAAATATGTCAGTGGTTTTCTGGAAAGCTTAAATACTGAAGCACCAATATAACGGCCACCACCAAGGAGGCTGTGTCTGTCATGCAACCCATCTT